TTTGAATTTCCTGATTTGGGTGCATTTAATCTCAACCATAATGTTACATTAACGTCGGTTTTGCATTTCATTTCCCAGTTTAGAAGAATAGCGTCAGCGCGTTTGCCTGTCTGTACAGAAAAAAAAGTGCAGGCTGACTAGGGCTACAGGCAGACAGACCACAACCCACCAACAGGCCACTCCTGCTGAAAAGCTGGGCCTGACCCCTCCCACTTGGAGAAGCTGTGACCAGGACAAGTGAATGGGGAGGGAAGGGTGGGTTCTTTTTCTAGGGAACTGCCTTTCTGTCCACTTGGATTGTGCAGGAACCAAGAGCAGAAAGAAAGAGAGGAGAGAAGCTAAATACGGAGCAAGAGCAATACGTATATACTGGGAAGGGGAATGGGGGGGTAGGGGGAATCTTGCCTTTCAGCCTGGAATGGAGGAGAAGGAAATCAATATAGTTTCACACTTGTAGGGATCTTAACCAATTTCCCATAAAGTTTTCCAAAATGTCTCTCTCACAGAAGACTAAGAATGATGTGCCAGATTTAAGTCATATTGAAATTCTCTAAATACCTCTCTTCTCATATTATTCCTTCTCATGCCACCTCAGACCTCCCCCACTCCCTCCCAAAATAACCCAGCATCTGGACAATTTTCTATAAAAAAGAAACTCCTTTACTCATAGTTCTAACTCAAAATGCAGATTGAGTCTCTTTAAGGTTTCTTTCAAAAAAAAGCCCCTGTGGACAAAGACCAAACACTAAAAAAACCCCAACACCAAAGGTCATCTTTCTCCAATAGGCACTTGAATACAGACGAGGAGGACAACAGCTAGCAGGGATGCTACAGAGCAGTGAGGGAAAGCTACACCCAGGAGCCTGATGGGCGGCCAGAGAGAACTCAGGGAGGGAGGGCGGGCGGCAACCAGGCCCACCGCTCCCCAGAGAAGTAGAACTGCGCTGCTCCCTCCCTGGCTGAGGCTACTTCCTCCTCCCCAGGTGCTGTGGCCTGTACCTCATTTTCCTCACTTACATTTACTCTGGTCTTTTCTGAACACTGAGGTGGTGAGAGAACTTGCCCCCAGGTTAAAGATGCACAATTAAAGATCCACCAAAGCTTTCAGGCTGTGCTCCCTGGGCTTTAGGGTCACAACCACCATCATTCGATGCACATCCATACCAAAATGAGCAACACGAACTTCTGCTAGCAGGACAAAGGAGCCACGGTTCTCCCGAACCGGATAAAAACCTATTTCCATATTGATTCCTTTCTTCCTAAAGCAAGAAAGGAATCGTACTCCTCAAATTTAGAGTTGCTAAAGCATTTTAAAACACCTAAATTAACATTTAATTGAAACTATGCTTTCAAATAAAAAAGTTTCATATTCAACCAACACCTATTATAGTAACCTGAATCAAAACACATAAAACAAAATGAGTGCAAAAACCAGAAAGTGAAACCCTATTATTGGCAACCCGACCACTCCACTTTCATCCAGCTCAGCGCTTCTCAACCTTCCTGATGCCGCGACCCCTTAATACAGTTCCTCATGTTGTGGTGACCCCCAACCATAAAATGATTTTCGTTGCTGCTCTATAACTGTAATTTTGCTACTGTTATGAATCATAACATAAATATCTTTTTGTTTTCCGATGGTCTTAGGCAACCCCTGTGAAAGGGTCGTTCAACCCCCAAAGGGGTCGCGACCCACAGGTTGAGAACCGCTGACCTAGCTGAACAAAGCACAAAACTAAACAGCAAAAATGATGACATATGGAAAATACCACGTTTTACCATGTTTATAACCAGTATTGTTACTCACCCAAGTACAAAGGAGCTTACACCTGTTAGTTTTTCATAATGGCATTCCTTTAGGATAGTCCCAATAAGTTGACTCACGGAATTCTGAAAACCAGAGACAGATGAGAGAAACAAACCCCATGCCAAGCCTCCGGACAGGCCTTGGCCCAAAACTTGTTTCTGCCTCCTACACAACTGAGGGGTTGTGTAGGAGGCAGAAACTATACACACTCCCGTAAGAATCAGAAGTGTGCTATGCAGAGGCCTCAAGGATTGAAAGCTCCTGGGAGCCAGGAAGGAAGGGAGCTGGGATGGTTCTGATTGGCAGTCCCAAGCCCATCCAGGGAGGCAGGCGGACCTTGCCCACACAGTCTCTCTGCCAGTAAACAGCATCAAGCCATTCAAAGAGAGCACTAGGAAGGGCTGATCTAACTGCCACACCACATTCTAGGCCTTTTACTCTCTCTTTTGGAAGCTCCATCTCATCCCAAATCTCAATATTTCCTACTTCCATTTAAATTCTTTTCCTTTTTGTTCTTAAATGAAGAGCAAGTTATTATCATACTCCTTGGAACAATTATTTCCCATAACACGAATTTATTTAGTCTGGACAAGAAATCGGTCACTAAAATCATATTCAATTTCTTTTTCTCTTCCCAAGTCTTATTTTTGTGTCTCTAATGGTTTTCGTTCCTCTTATCTTGAGCTTTTCCAATTTCTCTACTGCCCTTGTTGACAAGAAGACCAAAGTCGCACAGAGGCTCTAATGAGAATCTGACCTATGATGACCTCAGTGGAAGGCTGCTGTCTTATCTGGGACTGACTTCTCCAATCCATCTTCCGAACTTTCTCTGAATCCTATCCGGATCCTGCTACCTGCAAACTTTAGGGAAGGTTTTTGTTTTTTTTGAAAGAGAGGGAGGCTTTAAGCTGCCACTAACAATAAGTCTCAAGTCTCTCCTGAGCTGCCCATCCCTTTCCCGAGACTTGTCCAATGGGTAATCCAGCAGAGCTGCCTGGCCCCAAACTCACCTTCCTACCTGTTGATCACAGCATTGTAGAGGCTTAATGAAGTAGAGATGCATTACATTTATCACTTGTCCTAGATCCACTCAAATCCATCACTGTGTCACAGCAAGAAGTTAGATTGATCTGACAGGATTTGCTCTTCTTCACAAACCCATGTTAAGTTATTACTCAGTACCCTATGCTCTTCTAGCTGTTCGCTGATTGATTATCTGACGATCAGGTCAAGTATCTTCTCTGGAATCACAGTAAACTAACAGGTCTATAATTTCCAAGATCATTCGTATTTCCCTTTTAAAGATAAGCAAGACAGCAAATGCTTCTTCCTGAATTCTCTAAAGCAACAGCTAATGCTTTGCTAATAATGAACCAGGGCAGCCAATTCCTTAAGTGCCCTTGGAATCACATCATCAGGGTTCATTGATTCTGGAGATAATCTTTAATCAGGCCCAGATCCTGGTAAACAGTATGAAGCCCTACCTCAGCCTAGGTCTGAAGGGCCTTGATGCCTAAATCTGGGAAGGGAGTTGGTGATACAAGTGATTTAAATCTGTACTGCATTATGTCATCAGCACTGCAATAAATAAATAAAAAGAACAAAAAATAAAAAGAACAATGCCCTTGAAAGAGAGATGAAAGGTGATACAGACAGACCAAATTGAGACATGAATCAGGCTTCACCTTTAGCAACATCGGCAGGACCCTCTGTTAGGACAAGAGAACTGAGCTACACAATTATCTGAGCTTATAATCTAACTAAAAAGTTCAGAAACAAACATACATAGGCTTGTGCCAGGAAGCAAAAGGCAGGAAATGCCGTAAGGGAGGTGCCAGGCGATCATGAGGGTTCAGAAGAGGGATGAATCATATGCAATAGGGATGTGTTAGATTTGAGACTCAGGTCCCACAAAGGCTTACTTGGCAATTGAAATTGACATCAGTAAGGGAAATAACATGGTGTATTAGGACATGGATCCCTGATTCCCAGCCTGAGACAGTCTACATAACCAAAATTCCCACATACCACCCAGGTACACCCACCACAGGGTCTCCAGTAGTTGGGGGAGGCAGAGAAGAAGACTCGACAGCATGGGCTGAGAAAGTAGGTGTGGCTCAGGTAGCTCCCAAGCCACATTCCCTTTCATCCGAACTTCTTTCCCTTAGGACAGTCTCCTTCTCCTGCTCCTGTCTTCCGAAGCCTCAGTAGGCCTGACTCTAATGCACCACGACTTTAAGGGAGAATAGGAAACAGGAGAGGAGAAGGGGGAAGGTAAAGGGGCTGTGGTATCTGCTTTATGGAAAACAATCTACTATTCTAAAGAAAGCACACCTTCCTGGAAAAAAAGCATCAATAATCATTTCTTATCTCTCACAGTTTCTGTAAGCCAGGAATTTAGGAGTGGCTCAGCTGGCCAGTCTGGCTCAGGGTCCCTCCTGAGGCTGAAGTCAGGTGTCCACTGTGACTGGAGTTATCTGAAGGCTGACTGAGGCCGGTGGATTCACTTCCAAGACAGCGCTGGCAAGAAACAGGACTGGCAATTTGGTACTGGCTTTTAGCTAAGAGCCTCAGTTCCTGTACACAGGTGCCTCTCCACAGCATGGTGTCCTCACAGCATGGTGGCTGGCTTCCTCCAGAACAAGTGATCCAAAAGAGCAAGCAGGCTGCAATGCTTTTCATGACTTAGCCTCAGCAGTCACACTATTCCGCCTTATTCTATTGGTTATATAGAATATATATATAAGTCTATTCTGCCTTATTCTATTGGTTATACAAGGCTAGCTCTGATGCAGTGTGGGAGGGGAACTACCAAGGGTATGACTATCAGAAAACAAGGATTGCTGGGGGCCATCCTGGAGGCTGACTACCACAGTATTTCTTAAAAGGGTATGCAGCAATAGCAGGAGAAGGAAGGAGGGAAGGGAGAGGATAGAGAAAGGATGGGACAGAAGGAAATATTTTGATTGCCATAGGCTGAGGCTGGAGAGAAACAAGGTGCCCAGTTCTCTCCAGAGGCTTCTCAGGTCTCCTAGCATGCCTGGACCACGTCCTGTTTCCTAGGCAGGAACTGTAGTGAATAGCTAAAAGCCAGGAAGACTTGAGAAAGTTCCTCTGGGTCCCAGAAAGCAAGGCTATCCCCCCTCCCTCCTTGCCCACCCCACCGTTTCTGAAGCAATGATGCAACAGTTACCTGAGGATGAATCTGTGGCTTGTCGCACGTGGCCTCAAAGTCCAGCACTAAAAAGTAGTGATACCTCTGGGGAGGGAAGGACACCATTGCTGCCATGGATGCGCCAAAGCCGTGGGCCGCCAGCTTTCTGGTGGATATGGAGCAGAACTCCGGAACACCACAGGGAGAAAACAACTGGGAGCCCAGCACTTTTCTTGCTCTTGAAAGTAAATATGAAGAAAATCGAGCTGCTCCAGTCTGTAAAGGTGCTAGCATTGAACATCCAGAAGCATCTAAAACTTAGGGGGAAAAAGTTAAAAAAAACAAAACAAAACAAAAAACAGAGAGCCTGGGTTACTACTCCCCTCCCACTGTGGCCTTGTTCCATCTAGTCTTCAGGGATCATCACACAACATGAACCACTCACTCTCACTCCCCAGTGTGTTTCTGGACCCCTTTTCTAAATCAAAGTATTCATTACTGAAGTTCAAGACCCTAATACTGGCCCCTGCAGCATTATGACAACTTGGAGTCTCCCAGAGCATTCTCAAAACAACATGCAACACTGGCCTTCATCTTTAAATGGAACTCTAAAAGTTCAAAAGAGAGGACAGAGAAAAATGCTGTACTCACTTCTCAGGTGGCAACAGTTAACATGAAAGCTAAGGTTCCCAAAGTAACATGAGGTGACCCAGTTATACAATCTGCCCTAGGAGTTAAGTAGACTCAGACAGGCTGCGGAAAATGCCCGAGACTCTCCCCTCAGCTCCATTACGAGCCATTTGCCCCTAGCTTTCCTGTCTGTATCTTGACATCTCCACATACCCTTCTCCCTTCTTCACCATGAAAGCAAACAAGGCCAATCACAGGGGAGCTTGCTCATGATATTCTGATTCCCCAGCCCCCAAACCAGTAAGTGGCACCCTGGGAAAATGAGTAGCGCCTGCAGAGCACAGCTGGCAACAGCCTTAGGCCTTCCCATTTGCTGCCTTTAGACTCACTCTCTACAAGAGGCCTTGAATGACTGCAGGACTTATTTAAATAGGGAAGAAAAAGAGAAAACCCAGATGTGGCAGTAATGGGAGCATTGCTAAAAGTCTAGTAAAGTTTTCTGAGTGAACATGTGCAAAAAAAATCCAAATGACTTTTCAAGTTTTCCCTTTAAATTTACAGAATGTCTGCTCCTTAGAGGGCTAACTAAATATAAAAATCAAAGCCTAAGTTTTACTCACAAATAACTCAGGCTTCCTTAAACACACACACACACACACACACACACACACACACACACCAAAGCAGAAATTTTGTTTTCCCCCCTTTCATACCAAATACTCAAATTCCCTCAAGTTTACCTCAAATAAGAAATCTCACTGCTCCATACAGAAATGGCCATAGTTTATGCTTTCTGAAGCCCCATTCCTAGAGAGCCCAACGCTTGCCTCTGAAACACTGCACATCGGCACTCGCTCCCTCACATAGGGTGGAAGGGGAGAGCAGTCTGGGAGGTCCAGGGCATACTCAAGGGTCATGAGGTCGCTGCTACCTGAGTGGACTCAAACAACACCAAGCATCACTCTTCCTGGCTGTCCCTGCCTCACTGAGTGAGCTACAATAACTTGTCTATATAGGATGTATGCTAGCTAGTGTTTCCCTATCCCTTTAGTGGGATTCCATGAGGATGCCGTGGAGCTAAGACCAAAAAGTTTTTTAAGTTCTTCATGGATCCTGCGTAAGCACAGTGCTTGTTTTCACCATAGCTCCACAGCCTCTCCAAAAATGTGTCCAAAATTCCTCAGCCCCAGGTAGACAAAAGCTGGCTTGAGTTTCATTAGGGAATCCCTTGGAAAGGCAAACAGGCTAATATCCCTTTGAAAGCAGGAATCCAAAATAGCTCTTCATATCACTCACTCCCAAGCCAGCAGTTCTAAAGGCCTTGATGAGATGGGGGACACCAATCTGCTCAGATTACATATTCTAGTTTGGATCCAAATTCCCTCAGGGCCCTAGAACGTTTCTCTAACCCCTCAGTCAGGCTATGCATGAGGACTTTCGAAAGTCTTAATGTTCTCTAATGTGTAAATGTAGTACATAAAGTGTATATATAGTCAACCAGATCCCATCTTCCAAATGCTACAGGCAATTAAGCATCGTGATTAAGGTGGGCTTCCAGGTTTGAATCCTGGCGTTACCACTTATTTGTCATGGCACCATGGGCAAGCTCTGTTATTCAATTCCTTACCTATAAAATGACAATAATAATAGCTCCTAATCCTTAAGTGAGAATGAAATGAAAGGACACATGTGAAGCATTAATGGCAGTGTCTGGCACATAAGGGCTCAATATTAGCTTCTTATTATTATTATTACTACTGCTATCCTATTAGGCTAGGCCCACCTAGTCAAACCTGGATCATCCTGGGCCAACAAATACAATTAATGCCTAAGACAACCTCAGAGAGTAAAGCCAATGTCTCCTGCATCCTTAGAATGGTCTAGACCTCTCATACAGCATGCTATATACGCCTCATCCCCTCCCATGGACGACATGTTGATTGCCAGAGGTACTCTTAACTGCAAGCCTTGCTTTCTCGCCTGATTTTTTTTTCCCCCCATGCGGGCGTCGAACCAGCAACCTTGCTGTTAAGAACGCAGGCTCTATCCACCTTTCTTGCCTGATTTCACCCATGTCAAAAAAACTTCTCTTGTAGGAAGTCTTGAGGGAAGACATTAGGAGCCCATGCCTTCACATGTCAGCAGTCACTGGGTTCTGTACTTCCCTCACTTCTAAAAACCAAGTTCAACTCAAGTCAAGAAACAGCCCCTCTTCCTCTTCCCTTCCTAAAAAAATCTCTAGAGCCATTAAATATGGTCGAGGACGGTAGATGTCAACACCAGCTGGAGATGGGGGAGCAGAAAGGTCTAAGGGTTAATATCAGAGCCCAAACAGGTGAGAAGGGCATCCATAGAGACAGGAAGGTGTGATGCAGAGTATCAGAGCCCATGTGGGTGTGGAGGGCATCCACAGGGGGAGGGGTGGAAGAATCTGATGGGGGGAGTCATTGGCAGGGTAAAAACAGCACCCAACAAGGAGAAAGGGCAGTGGCAACAATGGGAGATTAGTTACATAGAGGGATTAATCACAGAAGGGCATATATTAAGAGTAATAATATTAATGGATTATCATGCACTGAATAAAAGGGAAACCATGAGTCCATAGAGATACTAATTAATTAATTAGTTAATTAAAGTTTGATAAGGGATGTTCACATAGTTTGAAAGTATCTCCCCATAGACTGCTTCTTATTACAGGGAGTAAGTTTACACTGGGGAAGCCTGGCAGACAACGCCTTACTCAAGTGAGCAAAATGAACATCCTCAATAATAGAAAAAATCAAAATCATGCACCACATGATAGAACGCAATGAGAAGAACAAAACATCATTTCTGTGATAGTCCTGTCAAAGATGCATAACCTAAATCTAATCATGAGAAAAGATCAGACAAACCCTGATTGAGGGATAGTCTACACAACCAGCCTGTCATCTTCAAAAGTACCAAGGTATCAAAAGTACCAAAAGTATCAAGGTCATGAAGGTCAAGGTACAGTTACTGAGGTAAGTCTAGAGGTTAAAAAATTCAGTAACTAAATGCAATGCATGATTCTGAACTGGATCATTTTGCCACAAAGAACATTACTGGGACAACCGGCAAAACTTGAATGGGGTTTGAGGACTGGCTAGAGGTTAACGTGTCAACAGTGTTAATTTCTTGGTTTTGATGCTTGCATTGTGGTTAAGGAGGAAAATGTCCTTACACGTAGGAAATACATGCAAAATATTCAGGGTGAAGGGGCATTAGGTCGGCAACTTAACTCTCAAATAGTTCAGGAAAAAAATTCTTTATACTCTACTTTCAACTTTTATGTCAATGTAGTCTATTTCGAACTTTTTAAAAGTTTTTTTTTTAATACATATGCAATGTGGTTTAAAAAAAAAGAAAAGAAACCAAAAAGACAGTATATGAGGATGCTATCTCCTCATACTACACACAGAAGGGAGGCTGTGTGCTCTCTTCTGGCAGGAAGGCCAGCAAAAGCCAGCCCTCAAAGCATGAAGTCTCTATCATAAGAGCCCTCACTCAGTGTCCCCTTACTGGGCACTCCTGCCACCATTAGAGCCTTCTCAGAAAACACCCCTGCCCTCCCTGCAGTGGCACTCCACCTGTCTGTGTGCCCTCCAGCATCATGGGGATTTCTCTTTTCTGTGGTTGTTTTTAGACTTTAGCCACAAGTTTGCAGAACATAAGTTAAGTCCAGAATTTATATCATCAGCTGGGACTTTAAGTATCTAGTTGAAGGACAGAATTCCAAAGGAACGAACATCACAGTTTATGATGCTGTGTATTTCTGTACACTATCTTTCATCAGAGACCAAGATTATAAACATTTATTCTCAGATACCTTTTCGTTCTCCTAGCAAATTAATGGTAGTAAGTAGCCTATGGCAAGGAGGAAAATGAGTGATTCTCTCCTCAAAATGAAGGGACCAGCCCCCCAGTGGGGCAGGGGAGGGGTAAACAGGGACTGCCACAGGGCCAGCCCGATTTGGAGAAACAGGCCTGCGCCACAGCCCCTGGAGGATGGTCTCTGTGCAGAGTATTTACACAACAGACACCAATGGCTCCTCTGCAGCCATTACTGTTGGTCAGGTAAATAACGCATGTGCCAAAACACACATTTAATGAGGGAAATAATATGCCTTTATAAAAAGCCTCAATCTGTATTTACCTGAGAGACTAGAGAAGCACCAAATCACCAGATTAGTGGAACCACAGAGGAGTCATTCTGGTGTCTTGGGTAAATAGACATTTTATAGCCTTACATTACTGGAGGGGGGAAGGGATGGGGAAGGGAGGGGGAAGGGAGGGACCATCCTTTCATATCCACATACACAGGCCTGGGGAGCCTGGGGGATGGAAAAGAAGAGAAACCCATCATGAAATATGGGGTCTACTCCCACCTCATCTCCCCAACCCCATATACTTGGAATCTCAGGATGGGGGTGGGGTATGGGTTTATGACATCCCTGGGTTCAAGCCATTCCATTAAAAGCCAGACTGGGAAGCAAGGGATTCCCGAGAAACTCCAAGGCACCAGAGGCAAGTCCTGAATCCAGCTGACTGGAAGCACCTGAGACAGCCACAACTTCCCCAGGTCCCAATCCTGAGGCAAGTCCCTGTCCCAATCTGACCTATAGTACAAATGCTCAAGCACCTGAGACACAGAGGCATCAAC